CACGCGGTGGTTGATTTTGAAACCAATACGATGCCAATCCCACTTATTCTCATCGTATGACCTCAAAACCATCCATTCCAAAAATTTTTTTCTTCTGGTGGTTGATTTTGAAACCAATACGATGCCAATTTCATGTATTCACATCGTATTACCTCAAAACCATCTATTCCAAACTTTTTTTTTCCTACTTTTCTTGTGGTGGGCCTATTTTTTGTTATCGTTTAGGAAGCTTAACCTTTAAGATTACAAGAGAGTTAATGTTTACGTCAAGAACTTGATACCTGCTCTTTATGCCTAGAAAGATTCTCACTACATATACGTATACATCATGTCGACATGGGCGCGAAAAAATTTTGTTCATTCTTTTTTTTTTGAAAACCCGTGGTATAGCCCTTCCGCGAAACGCCAAGCGACAACAGTAGCTTCTATCGCACACATTGTTCGTAAAGAACATTTATTCGGACCACGCATCGGGGGGAAGATACAAAATATTATCATTAGTGCAAAGCGACAAGCCCTGAAAGTTCCGTGACTGAATCCATCTATGACCGTCTAATCAACTATTTGTTATTGCTAGTATCCTGGTTCTCCTCTGTCACTGTTAGATACTTTCCTGCGTGCGTAGCAGAAATTATTAATTTCTAGTTAGACGATTCTTCATGCAAAATGTTTCTAAATTATTAGTTACGTTTATTAACCTTAAAAGGCGAAATCTTTCATGCAGAACAATTCCAATACAATAAGTAAATAGTGAAAGGCCAATCGTACAATAACTTCGTATGGTACTATATATTAAAGTAAAAATAAGGCCTACAGCGTTAGAGGCAGACAAGCCCAGTAGCGTGATGTGGTACGGTATATATAGACTCTGGGCCCCGCAAAAGACACTCGCCCAGAGCCCCGCACTCAGCTAAAGCCGCCTCTGGACTTTATAGCTTTAGACTTTAAACAAAGAGACAGCAACATTATGTGTTTCTTTTCATGCTCATGCCGATGATAGATATAAACAAAGATTGACTTGAATAATAAATGGCACTACCTAGATTTAATCTTATTATAAGAAGCACAGATAACTGGAATATTGGGATATACGCCAAACGTTCGTACGACAATGAAGCGCTGACAAAAATGGTGTCTTTAAAATAGTGCCGACAAAAAAAAAAAGCAACCGTAGCTCATATCAAATATGCCTTTATTTAAATATCATATTTATCTGGAGGCAACAGAGGTTTAAATTCCGAATTTTCCTTCTTCCTCGGGCAGTAAGAACTCGTTAACTTTAGGTGTCAACAACCTTTTCTCCTACACGTTAAGCTCCTAAACATTATCACCGACATCAACTCGGGGGTGGGATGTTTATGTGGGGCGCGAGACAGCGGCTAGATTGGTCATGAGGCCATAAGGTGAAAATCTGCAAAATCACTAACTCAGATTTGACAATATCTGTTTCACAAGAGATAAGAAATAAAATAGATTCTAGAACAAACATTTTAGACAAATGCAGATCTAGGTATTGTAAAAGACAAAAAACTGATTCACTTAATTCAAAATAAAATGTTACACATATATTTGAATGACTCGATAATGACACACAAGTTCTAGGTTCGATCCCAATACTAAACAACTTTTGTCAATGACAAATGAAATATAGATGTTATATATGTTTTCTTGGAGGTTCAGCGTGTGCCGATTTAAATTATTTCAACAGCGGATTCACGCGGTGGTTGATTTTGAAACCAATACGATGCCAATCCCACTTATTCTCATCGTATGACCTCAAAACCATCCATTCCAAAATTTTTTTTCTTCTGGTGGTTGATTTTGAAACCAATACGATGCCAATTCCACTCATTTTCATCGTATGCCCTCAAAACCATAATTTCCAAGTTTTTAGCGACCCCGTAAGGGGAAATTGCCGCTATTAGTTTTTGTGCAAAATGTCCGTCTGTCCGTCTGTCACACTCAGATCTTGAAAACTATAAGAGATATAAAAAATATTATTTTACCATGAAATGCGGCTTGAAAAGTTTAGGTGCAACGTCTACTTTTGGTTCTCTAAAAGCAAACCGTTTATTTTATAAAATTAATAAGACAAGTTTTTTTCACAAAAATATTCCAATTCTAAAACACTTACGTAAATGTAAGGGAATCAATGTTACAATTTGCTAATAAAGATTGACAATCTTTTTTGTATTTCCAGTATCACGAAGTCAAATATATTTATAAAATGTACCAGAAATGTTTACAATAAACATAAATAATAGTTAAAGGTGTTTTTTCTGGTTAACTAGCTGCTAAGTTTAAAAGAAAACATTTATGTTTGTGTATAAACGCTAGGAATGCACTTTGTATGTAAATATCACGCATAATTTTTTAAATGGACATTTTATGCTGCGAGTTTCGTGTAGTAGCGTAAAGCCCGTCCATGACATGGTGCTAAACCAATTGCTTAAACTTGTTTTAAAAATCAGATTTTATTTACTTTCTGTTTATTGCCCCCATCAGAATGAAAGAAGCTTATTTTTGTGCGTTTTGTCTGATGGTCGATCTGTCCGTCACGGTTACATTAAAACAAAATAGCACTAATTAAAAATTTTTAAACAATTAAAACAAATAGACAATAGGTCGTTCAGAATGATTAAAAAAAAGGAAGTAATTTATTAGAAACGATTATTGAAAAACACTTTTTAAACTTATTTTAGATTGAATTTTCTTGCTGAAACAATACATAGGATTTTTTTTTATGTTAAGAATGTTCTGGTTTGATTTTGAAAAAGAAATCAACCTACATTACTTAAACTTTCTTACTAATCGTCGCCAAAATTGTTCTAAATTTTATATAAAAACTATACTAACACTAATAACTGTTTGAAATCCCTCTTCTTATAAATAAATTAAATAAATTTCCTCTCATTTACGAATATCGGTTGATTTTTATGAAAAACATTCTAACTCTATGTAAAATCGCACTTCTGTCGTACATTACAGTTAATTTTCTTGCTAAGCGTTTTAAAATCTAATTACTATTATGTTCCGATTTTAATGAAAACAACTTTCTAACACCGAAAAAATGGTTTAAAAATTTCTCTGGATGGCGATGGTTATTCTAATTTTTTATACGAAACCATTCCAAAAATTTAATTAACGGTTTTAGATTTATCTAGAATTCTCTTTTTCTCTCACTATATATACAAACACCCGGAACAATCTATAATAGATACTTAAAACTATTGCGATGTTTCGGAAGGAAAATAAAAGGTTAATCAAATTTTCGATAGTTTCTAATTGTTCTTTTTTTCGATAATACCATGACGGACGGACAGACTGACAGACAAAATGCAAACAAAAATGAGGCTTTAATTTAAATAATAATATTAATATCTTTAAATGATTTCTATTGGAACTCTGTGCAAAAGAGATCATGCACCCTCAAGAAATCTCTCTTGCTAATAAAAACATTTTTTGTTACTAGCCCATTGTGACGTACTGGATTTTTTCTTTTAATGTCATGTGAATGAATTCTTCAAATGTAATTCTAAAAGAACTGACTCGGTGCACCAAAGTCTGTAATCCCTCGATAACTGGCTAGTATTGATGAAGCAATTTTTTTAGTCTAACTAGGCCGTGTGACGTTATTAAGTTAAGAGCAATGCCTGGTCGTACTGAATTGATTATCACGACGGTGTCGCGTTTTTTGTTTCTTTTACATGTTTTGTTTGTTCCTTCAGAGTTGAAGATAGTTTACTTCCTAGTCCAAACCTCCCGCATTACGACGGGGGATGGGAGCGGGCAGGCAGTCCAGTGCGCAAACTGCATGACCAGGCAGGGTTTATACCCTGCTCAGTGCCATCTTTCGTCGTCCATTGAGAAGTTGATAATTTTTGACTTAGAATGAACATCCGAAATATTTAAAAAGAGAAAAAACTAATTTTTTTTACAACGGTAAATAAATCTTTGAAACATCATTACTTTTAACCATCACAATTAAATCACATCTTGAATATCCTTTTCGAATAGGCGGTTCCGACAGGGATCCGACTCCGACGGGAGCCTCCTCTGAGTTTGTGTACTAACACAAACTCTCTTTGTAACCTTGTTTAAAAGATATAACTATAGAAATACGTATTTAATGTCTTTATATTTTCATTTCCTTTCATCATTTTTACCGAGCTTAACATTAAGTAATTTCGTTTATATGAAAAGTGTACTAGGCTAACAGGAGATGATGATGCAATAAAAAAAGATATGGCAGCGATTGAACAGTGCTCTCCCCTTTCTATACTCATTTTTGTCACAATTGATTTTTCCCCCCGCTTTCTTTAGATTCTAATTTTTATTTGAATTAATATTGTGATACTTACAATCTTTAGCTTTATTAGACAATAAAGAAATCTTTCCTATAATGGCTAAACGGTCATTTAGAACAATTTAAAAGAAAGCTTAGTTATTCCTTCAGTCATTATATAGGCCTTACAAAAAAGCTAGAATCTCTCCCAGTTCTGACACACCGAAAAAAAAAGATTGATTTTATACAATATCTACAAAAGCAAACTACGCGCCATCGATTGCTTTGAAAGTTGCACACAAAAAAAGAGTTTAAATAAAGCTTATAATTTTGTACATTATTAAATGTCTGCTTTAAAATAGATAAACATTGGCTCGAAACGGGGAATAAAAAGATGGTTTCTGGTAAATTTATCCGCTGCGGATTCGATTGTGAAAATGACTTAGTTGTTCTATATACTCGGTAAGTAATAACTTTTATTAAAGTTTTGCATGCTTTCGTCCACCGCAAGTGGTAAAATTAATGATGATTCAGTCAGGCAGGCAGTTAGCTCGGTCCAAGAACTTTCTAGTGTCAATAGAATAATTGGATGACTTTAATAAGTCTATAGGGACAAAAACAAATTGTATTGTGCATCACAAAACATATAAAGTGAGCATTATTCAAACATAGACTGGCAGTGAGTCCAAAGTATAAAAAAACAAACAAATATTTCGTACATTTTCAATTATGACATAATTTATTATATTTATTCAATCAAAATGTATTAAATTCAAAGGAAATTTAGTAATGTCGTCACTAAACTTCTCAGATGACAAATGACACGTATTATCAAGATTACAAAAAAAAATGAAGAAAAGTTAGTTTTTAACTGAGTGTAGAAAACTTCATTTCAAATGTAAGTTCTCAGTGAGTTTCGGTCTAGGTTTGAACCCAATAACAAAATACACGTTTTGGTTTTTTCAACTTCCATTTAGCATGAAAGAGAATTAGCAAGTGAGTCACGAGGCACTGCACTAATGTTAGAAGCTGTTTTGGCAAATTAGTCTACATTGTAGAAAATACAATTTAAAAAGGCCCCTCTTTCCACTACTGACAGGTTAACGCTTTCAGGATAAAGCGGACATTGGTTTAACAATCTTATACTGCCCATGTCGCATTCCGGGTAAGTTGTTTGTTTTTTGTTTGTATTATGTAGTTCTAGGTCAGTGATTAGCAATCTGTGGTAATGTTTCTAGTCTTGTTGTCCTGACGTGCCCAGTAGGAGGCTGTAGACGTCTAGACAGGAGGAGAACAAAGAGAACAACAAATGCTGCATTAATGAAAGGGGCGAGAATTCTTCGCAAGGAAATAGGCTTCATAACTGAATGTTTGTTCGTTTTTTTCCTTTTCTCGTTTTACTTGCTTACTTTTTGAAAATAAGTGTTACTTCATAGTAAGACCTACTGTAAGTGTTACTTCATAGTAAGACCTACTGTAAGTGTTACTTCATAGTAAGACCTACTGTAAGTGTTACTTCATAGTAAGACCTACTGTAAGTGTTACTTCATAGTAAGACCTACTGTAAGTGTTACTTCATAGTAAGACCTACTGTAAGTGTTACTTCATAGTAAGACCTACTGTAAGTGTTACTTCATAGTAAGACCTACTGTAAGTGTTACTTCATAGTAAGACCTACTGTAAGTGTTACTTCATAGTAAGACCTACTGTAAGTGTTACTTCATAGTAAGACCTACTGTAAGTGTTACTTCATAGTAAGACCTACTGTAAGTGTTACTTCATAGTAAGACCTACTGTAAGTGTTACTTCATAGTAAGACCTACTGTAAGTGTTACTTCATAGTAAGACCTACTGTAAGTGTTACTTCATAGTAAGACCTACTGTAAGTGTTACTTCATAGTAAGACCTACTGTAAGTGTTACTTCATAGTAAGACCTACTGTAAGTGTTACTTCATAGTAAGACCTACTGTAAGTGTTACTTCATAGTAAGACCTACTGTAAGTGTTACTTCATAGTAAGACCTACTGTAAGTGTTACTTCATAGTAAGACCTACTGTAAGTGTTACTTCATAGTAAGACCTACTGTAAGTGTTACTTCATAGTAAGACCTACTGTAAGTGTTACTTCATAGTAAGACCTACTGTAAGTGTTACTTCATAGTAAGACCTACTGTAAGTGTTACTTCATTGTAAGACATCACCTTATGTTTTCCAAACGTGACATTTTAAAAATTAAGGTTATATAAATACAGTCGAAATTTAGCGTTTAATAAACAATGTCACTGTTATCTTCTGCACTTGATGGCAGTATAACACATAGAGTCTATGTCCTAACCCTAACCATAGACTTTGCCCGAATAGAATATATGTAAGTTAAGTAGTCTTTTTAAAAATTATTTTTCAGTTTTTAGACATAGTTATGATAGCATTGATTATTAGCCCTAGAAAATATCATTATAAAACAACAAAAATAACGACAGTTGAATGCCCTTTCATAAATAGTAAGAAAATAGAGACTTCTTATATCAAATATAGGAAAATAAATTTTAAAAACTCTTTAATTGAGTATATATTTATATCATCTTTGCTTATTGAGAATGTAACATTTACATAATAACACCCGATTGTAATATTCACAATAAAATAAACAAACATTTTTATGAAGTAACATGGCTGCCATATTTCGGCCTCACTCTCCGAACACGTGGTTGATTCGCCTTGTATGACATCCGTCAGAGCCCGGAAGTGAAAATGTATGCTGATTTCCTCCCTGAGGAGTGCTGCCATAAAACCCGCGCTCCCCAGATTTCATACATGTGGTCTTGGAACTGCCTTGAAATACCAAACACCTGTGGTTTGGGGGGAGGGGAGAGTAAAAGAAAGAAAAAAAAAGAGCTTTGTATATTTGTTGTTTGGTTGCTAAAGAGAGACCGTAAATACTTCCAAAGATTGAGGATGACAAAGTATTATGTTTGAACTCAGACTCACTTCCTTCAACTGTTCTTTCTTTCACCTCGGCCACTTTTGGTCTTAACTAATTTCATACATTTTCTTTCTACTTTAAATTATTTTTTTAAATTAGATGTCGCTTCTATATAAATACAAGTACGAAAATGCAAGCTTCTTATGTATGACACAATACAAATCTACTGATTACTTAGCTAAAGTGTCATTGGGTGGGTTTTATGTGTATGATAATTAGTAGGAATGTACATAAATTGTCATAAATACACATTAAGTGGTGTGTGCCTATAACGAGCTACAAGATTATGAAGCCATTTCCAACATTTTAATTTGTCTCATTTGAAGTCGGAGCCGCCTTTTGTAATTTACAGATATGAATGGGAAAACAAGATGGGGAATAGTTCGGGGGGGGGGGCGATTAGGTCCTGCTATTTTAAAAATATATGTATTCAAGTTGGCGACACTTGAGAGAAAGTCGGTTACGGATTGAATCTAACGTCACGCCACGCAACACTCTGATTCCTCTGAGAAAGATATCTCCCAGCTGTTAAGATTGAAGAACTGGCTTTGCGAGAACACTTCTGTTTGAAATGTCTCCAAAGTCGAGATCTTTCTGAGTGGAAAGTGTGTGCATCACAGAATGAAATAATGTGCACTACACGCGGAAGTATTGTACTATATATAAAAAAATAAACGCAGCACAGAAAAATATAATGTGCATCACATGAGGAAGTATTGAAATATCACGTAATAAAAAATAAAGGAATCTCACAAAGAAACAATGTAAAAAAAGTATTGCGCTACCACTAGATAAAAATAAATGCACTGGAGAAGAAAAGAATGTGACAGAATGAAACCAAGTGCACCTGCAGAAAGAGAGAAAAAAAAAGGTAGATACATTTTAAAATAAATGTTTTAAAGAAAGTTTTAGAAAACTTGGACTTTTTATTATCCGCGTTATCCGCCTGACTAGAGGCTCAAAAGGAGGCAGGAAGACAATAACGTGGTTTGTTTTACCAAGTGAAGCATCATGAATGAGGTAAACATGAATGTTAGTGTATCGCTAATGTAGAGTTAATGTATCGCTAATGTAGAAGTAGTGTATCGCTAATGTAGAGTTAGTGTATCGCTAATGTAGAGTTTGTTTATCACTTATGTAGAGTTTGTTTATCACTAATGTAGAGGTAGTGTATCACTAATGTAGAGGTAATGTATCACTAATGTAGAGTTAATGTATCACTGATGTAGAGTAAGTGTAACACTCACCTGCAATAATCATCCCGTCCATCTCCATCCATGTCTCTCATGAACCACGTGTTCAGGTGTCCAGCCTCAAAGCCAAGCTTAGACACGTAGTGATGACCCTGGTCTCTGCTGCCGGCCAAGTTACAAGAAAGAAAGCGACGTTTTCCCTTGCCAACCACTCTAAGGGAGAGAAAACATGCAAACAAAAATATTAATATTAAAGCATCTCACTATTTAGTGGCCTAGTTTATACCTCATTGATCTCATTATTCAGTGCTTTTCGAGACAAAGATAAACCAATACTAACTAATTCTTACGAGTAAATCCGGTAAAAAAGGTTCATCTAATGTCCTTCCTTTCTAGGATACAGTAGTCTACACTTTCCCCTCAAGAGTAAAAAAACAAAAACCTTCTACACAATGTATGTAGTTGTCATGACATTGTGAAAACATCTCGTTCTTTAATTTCATGCATTCCAGGGGGAATAACCTAACATGTCAACGTGCCTCCTAAGTTATATCCTACAACAGACGCTATATCTCCAAAATATTTGTCCTGTCGCGTAGAAAAAAAAATCGCATTATCAGTTAAGTTTCAGATAAAAATAGAACAAGTATCTCTCTCTCGTTTAGCGGCCCCCGAACGAAAAGGGAATAGCCGCTACTAGTTTTGTGTGGTCTGTCTGTCCGTCCGTCCCGTTTAGATCGTGTAAACTAGAAAAGATGTTGAAAATCCGCCATGATATTTAAAGGGCTTTTAAAGTTCTGATGCAACGTCTATTTTTTTCTTTTCTGAAAGCGAAAAATGTAATTCAACTATGCAAGCAGTTTTGTTCATAAAAATACACCATTTTTACAACTATTTATAACTATTAACTATTAATAGTAAAAAAAACAACACGGGAGACTATTTAGTAAGGGGACAACTGTTTTTAACAAATTAATGCAAACAGTTTTAGATTTTTTTGTCAAAAAAATCTTTTTTTTCTTTTTTGTCATACTAAATTTTGTCATTCTTGACATACTAACTTCTAAAATTTGTTTACTTTTTTTTTAAGAGAAAAAATCTATTTAGTATGTATATAAGTGGAACATAATTTAAAACAACAATTAATAAGTAGTGTTTCTAATAATGCACTGTAGTATGCGTAGGGCCGCAGATGATCGACAGATAATCATTCAATAACATCAGTTAGGCCAGGTTCACATGTAACATCACCTTCGCCTATCCCTTGGTCTATTGTACCATTGGGGTACCACACAAGATCTGTCAACCGTCTTTCCTTGCCTTTAATAGAATTTCATTCACTGACAGATCTGTTCATGCTTTGATGTTGTCTCTCTGTCTTTATCTTCATCTTCTTCCTGGTACTGTTCCCTGAAGGAAGGTCTTTGCGAGCCCTGAGGACCTTGTGATGTGGCCACAGAGTTTGAGTTTACGTGTTTTTGACAGTGGTTTGCAGGTCATCGTCGGGTCCAATTGCTGTATTAATTCTGTTTCTAATCTCTTCATTCGTGATATGTCTTTGTAGTTGTTGATAGTTGGTAGTTCATAGTTTCTGATAGTCTTGCTGAAAATATTGAAACCTGACTTTTTGTCTGCATCAGCCGACCACTTCGAGCCGATATTGAGTTTGTGTGATTTTGTGATCTCCATTTGTAACCTTGTTGGATTTTATGTTTCAAACAAAAATTGTGTACCAGTGTGTGCGTTGGTGTCAATTTTGAAGTTTTAATTGCAGACGTTTTAATCATCTAGATATCATCTAATAGAACCAGAATGCACCTACCATCCTCTTTCACAGAGTTCAGGTACAGAGATACTGTTTATACAAACACGTCACTAAAAGAGCTTTGGGCTCGCAAAAAAAGACTTTTGATTTGTTTTTCTGTAGATTATCGTTCTTGGGCGTGTTGCTGTTGAAAGAGAAAGACATTGGATCAACCAAGGAGGGGGGGTTTGTTCCGTTTATTTCGCACGTTTGTGTTTTTGAGTTTGTTTTTCAAGTGGGACTTTATATATATTCAGGCTATCAGTCATAAAGTGTGTCTTTTTAGATTTGAATGAAGAAAAGCACAAAGGGTACATTGAAGATTGTCAGGATGTGTGTGTAATTAATAAGAAAATAGATGTAAAATGATTGTGTTAGCAGGTGGAATAAGAAATGTGTCTTTATTTTTGTATCTTTAGGTTTTGTTTTTACATTTGTAAATTATAATTCAGTGTTTTTTTTTGTAATACTGCTACTTTAATTTA